CAATAGCGATGGCAGATTTAAATTCAAATGCAGTGCAGAGTTTTTACCTGACAACGGTGCATCGCATGTTAGGCAGAACATTTAAATTTTAACTAAGATGAACTAAAGTGCAGAATTATTGACCGCACGTGTCTACAGCACGATCACACACTCATTTATTTAGTTTACCAGCAAAAAATGTTGATTTGGAGTGACTTGCCCTTTAAGCGTAATTATGAATGTTATAACTGGATGATGTTTGGTAAAAAAGTGGGTGATAAAGCCATCGCGGTATCTGCAGGAAACTAGCGATAAGAATATTTATCACTAAATTAAAAAACTATTTAAAGAAAGCGTTTTTCTGAAACTGCAGCTTCATTGTGAAAGCTAAACCGTCCACATAGCCAGCCGCTCACTTTGGTGCTAGCTGTTGAGGAAGAACCCGACCTATGTTGATGTTTACCTGACGCAGCCTCACCACTGGACGCGTAAGCGACACACAACCTAACAGACGCGTTTTCCTTGTGAGCTCAGTCGTGCGTACCTTCCCAACAGGAGTGTTTCAGATGCGAAACTTCAGCAAAAGCATGCCGCACACCTGGTCGCATAATCGTTTTTGGTTTATTTTATTTTCCGTTTCCACCAGATACGGCTAACTTGTAGTTGTACGAGTTAAGCAACTGGAAATCTGCCAGTCTTTTATTTTGAAAGTTTCCAGATGTTAGACACGGCTCCAGTGCTTGCCTTCCTGCCTAAGCTGCCGACATGTAAATGTGGCAGAGCGACGCATAGCCACGCTTTACGGTGACGTGCAGAACGCGCCGCATCGTGGTTGGTGGAGGCACCCCCGTCGATGAACTAAGCTTCGCAGACGTCACCAGAACAAGAAGCTAATGCCACTGGATGAAAGGCCCGGGTATGCCGACTCTTCCAGGTGACTGAACGTGTAAAGACTTAACATCAAAAGAACCTAGAATGTGGAACTCCAGCATGAACCTCTGCTGTCTTCTTCTGTCCACGTCTGCAGCAGCACAGAGGTTTCTGATGGGGCGGAGACGGCGGCTGCAGGTGAAGCCGCAGAAACAAAAGGTCAGCGGGACGTCTGACGGTCACAGAGGCGTGACCCCTTCCACTGATCACCGCTAATGAGGTGGTCATGAGCCTCGTCAATAAGCAGCAATCAGCCCTGGTGGGTAAATAAGGCCCAACACCAGAACAAGTCTGGTGCTGCTCAGCTGTTGAGCTTCAATATTTAACCTGTGAAACCAAAACAAAGTGGGTCAGACTTGACTAAAGCCTTCTGTTTTAGCCCAGCGTGTGCTCTCTGGGTGGAAATCTGGCTTGTTTTGAAAACGGAAAATGGGCCTGAGGGGGTCAAACTGCAGCTGAGCCCCACCCAAACCGAGCTGCTGCTGTAATGGGAGCTCACACGGCCCGTCTGAAGAAGAAAACCGGTTTCTAAACTCCAAAAGGCCCGTGTGTTCCCGAGTTGTGTTTTCAGCTAACGATGGAGTGATGAAGACATTTTCCATGCGGCGTTTCTGCAGCTCGACGGCGTGTTTGTGAATAAGGAGGCTCTTGTCTGACTGCTCTGGTGACGCTTTGTCTTTAGCTAAAGCCGCGCTGGACAAAAGCCTCAAGTAGAAGGAGGAAACAGAAAAGATTTTCAACCAGCGTTAAAAAATAAGAGCGGAACGAGTTGCACTTGGAGAGGGTGAGGCGAAGGGGGAGTCCGGGTCTGAATGGCTCCTTTGTGATCAAAAGACTTGTTTATTTTCTTGGCGCTTGAACTCTTCAGGAGCCACATTGGGTCTGTCTGCACTGTCTCACTTGCGTCCTCGTGGCCCGCCCGACATCCCAGCAACCAGCACCGAGTCAGCAACAGGAGCCGGGTCGACTCGGAGCCCAAACAAGGTTCTAATCGGACTCCAGAGATGAGGAAACTTTAAAGGAAACTCAATAAAAGTTTGGATTAAATGTGTTTTTTCCCTGATTAAACCAGGAAGTGGAATCTAGAATCATTTACTGCGTTGTATTAAATCTGATGCTCTGCTATTAATATTGTTTTACTTTGGTAGGAAAAACCAGCTGTTTTTCACTTTGACAGTTTTATAGAGCAGTGGTTCCCTAAGTTTGGGTCAGGACCCCACACTGGGTCACAAACAACTGCAAAGAGGTCTGAAGATGACTTCCAGAGATCAAAATAAGACTGAAGAACAATTGTTGAAGCTACATTTTTAGCATAAATGTCACAAAAAGTCAACTAAAAGTCATAAATGGATGTAAGTGAGTTTTGTTTGAGATCTGAATGATTTAGCTTCTCGAGCACGTTTGTGTTGTCAGAACAGATTATCTGGAGTTGCATGAACAGAAAATAGCTGTTTTGTGGGTCTGGAGCTGAAAAGTTTGGGAACTGATGGAGAACAAATCTAAATCTGACCTTTTGGTTTTCTCACCACAATAAGATAAATAACTCGATAAACTTAAACTGAATACCAGCCCCACCCTTTGAGGCAACAACATAAGAATCTACAGGTGGTTAAAGGTTTTTGTTTCACTTTGTTTTATCTTGATGACAATAAATTAAATAAAGTGACTTAGTTATGAGCATGCATCCGAAAAACACAGAACAGTATCGAACTAGAACAGGTTGGTAAACTAGAGCAGGTTAGTAAACTAGAGCAGGTTGGTAAACTAGAGCAGGTTAGTAAACTAAACTAGAGCAGGTTAGTAAACTAGAGCAGGTTGGTAAACTAGAGCAGGTTAGTAAACTAGAGCAGGTTAGTAAACTAAACTAGAGCAGGTTAGTAAACTAGAGCAGGTTGGTAAACTAGAGCAGGTTAGTAAACTAGAGCAGGTTAGTAAACTAAACTAGAGCAGGTTAGTAAACTAAACTAGAGCAGGTTGGTAAACTAGAGCAGGTTAGTAAACTAGAGCAGGTTAGTAAACTAAACTAGAGCAGGTTAGTAAACTAAACTAGAGCAGGTTAGTAAACTAGAGCAGGTTAGGAAACTAAAGCGGGTTAGTAAACTAGAGCGGGTTGGTAAACTAGAGCAGGTTAGTAAACTAGAGCGGGTTGGTAAACTAGAGCAGGTTAGTAAACTAGAGCAGGTTAGTAAACTAAACTAGAGTGGGTTAGTAAACTAGAGCAGGTTGGTAAACTAGAGCAGGTTAGTAAACTAGAGCAGGTTGGTAAACTAGAGCAGGTTAGTAAACTAAACTAGAGCAGGTTAGTAAACTAGAGCAGGTTGGTAAACTAGAGCAGGTTAGTAAACTAGAGCAGGTTAGTAAACTAAACTAGAGCAGGTTAGTAAACTAGAGCAGGTTGGTAAACTAGAGCAGGTTAGTAAACTAGAGCAGGTTAGTAAACTAAACTAGAGCAGGTTAGTAAACTAAACTAGAGCAGGTTGGTAAACTAGAGCAGGTTAGTAAACTAGAGCAGGTTAGTAAACTAAACTAGAGCAGGTTAGTAAACTAAACTAGAGCAGGTTAGTAAACTAGAGCAGGTTAGGAAACTAAAGCGGGTTAGTAAACTAGAGCGGGTTGGTAAACTAGAGCAGGTTAGTAAACTAGAGCGGGTTGGTAAACTAGAGCAGGTTAGTAAACTAGAGCAGGTTAGTAAACTAAACTAGAGTGGGTTAGTAAACTAGAGCAGGTTGGTAAACTAGAGCAGGTTAGTAAACTAGAGCGGGTTGGTAAACTAGAGCAGGTTAGTAAACTAGAGCAGGTTAGTAAACTAAACTAGAGCGGGTTAGTAAAGTAGAGCGGGTTAGTAAACTAAACTAGAGCAGGTTAGTAAACTAGAGCAGGTTAGGAAACTAAAGCGGGTTAGTAAACTAGAGCGGGTTGGTAAACTAGAGCAGGTTAGTAAATTTAACTAGAGCAGGTTAGTAAACTAGAGCTGGTTGGTAAACTAGAGCAGGTTAGTAAACTAAACTAGAGCAGGTTAGTAAACTAGAGCTCGTTGGTAAACTAGAGCAGGTTGGTAAACTAGAGCAGGTTAGTAAACTAGAGCGGGTTAGTAAACTAAACTAGAACAGGTTAGTAAACTAGAGCAGGTTAGGAAACTAAAGCGGGTTAGTAAACTAGAGCGGGTTGCTAAACTAGAGCAGGTTAGTAAACTAAACTAGAGCAGGTTAGTAAACTAGAGCTGGTTGGTAAACTAGAGCAGGTTAGTAAACTAGAGCTGGTTGGTAAACTAGAGCAGGTTAGTAAACTAGAGCAGGTTAGTAAACTAAACTAGAGCAGGTTAGTAAACTAGAGCTGGATGGTAAACTAGAGCAGGTTAGGAAACTAGAGCGGGTTAGTAAACTAAACTAGAGCAGGTTAGTAAACTAGAGCAGGTTAGGAAACTAAAGCGGGTTAGTAAACTAGAGCGGGTTGGTAAACTAGAGCAGGTTAGTAAACTAAACTAGAGCAGGTTAGTAAACTAGAGCTGATTGGTAAACTAGAGCAGGTTAGTAAACTAGAGCAGGTTAGTAAACTAAACTAGAGCAGGTTAGGAAACTAAACTAGAGCAGGTTAGTAAACTAGAGCTGATTGGTAAACTAGAGCAGGTTAGTAAACTAGAGCAGGTTAGGAAACTAAAGCGGGTTAGTAAACTAGAGCGGGTTGGTAAACTAGAGCAGGTTAGTAAACTAAACTAGAGCAGGTTAGTAAACTAGAGCTGGTTGGTAAACTAGAGCAAGTTAGTAAACTAGAGTGGTTTGGTAAACTAGAGCAGGTTAGTAAACTAGAGCAGGTTAGTACACTAAACTAGAGTGGGTTAGTAAACTAGAGCAGGTTGGTAAACTAGAGCAGGTTAGTAAACTAGAGCTCGTTGGTATACTAGAGCAGGTTGGTAAACTAGAGCAGGTAAAGTTAACAGATAATTAAACTAGAGCAGGTTAGTAAACTAGAGCTGGTTGGTAAACTAGAGCAGGTTAGTAAACTAGAGCAGGTTAGTAAACTAAACTAGAGCAGGTTAGTAAACTAGAGCTGGTTGGTAAACTAGAGCAAGTTAGTAAACTAGAGCGGTTTGGTAAACTAGAGCAGGTTAGTAAACTAGAGCAGGTTAGTAAACTAAACTAGAGTGGGTTAGTAAACTAGAGCAGGTTGGTAAACTAGAGCAGGTTAGTAAACTAGAGCAGGTTGGTAAACTAGAGCGGGTTAGTAAACTAGAGCGGGTTGGTAAACTAGAGCGGGTTGGCAAACTAGAGCGGGTTGGTAAACTAGAGCGGGTTAGTAAACTAGAGCGGGTTAGTAAACTAGAGCGGGTTGGTAAACTAGAGCGGGTTGGTAAACTAGAGTGGGTTGGTAAACTAGAGCGGGTTGGTAAACTAGAGCGGGTTGGTAAACTAGAGTGGGTTGGTAAACTAGAGCAGGTTAGTAAACTAGGGTCTTGGAAATCAGAGGATTCCCGTTTTAAGAGTAAAAGATCAGGATAAGCTGTGCTTTGTGGAACAGAAAACCTCCAACATTACGTTACATGACTGTAAACTTTCTCTCTGTCCCGGCGTGTGTGTGTGTGTGTTTGTGTGTTTGTGTGTGTGTGTGTGTGTGTGTGTGTGGGGGGGGGGGGGGGTCAGGCTGTCACAGTTGTATGCAGTCAGTCACACTTGGACACAAACACTCTCTGTTCTTGTCTCCCCCCTCTCCCCAGTTTCTGAGTCTCTCTCTCTCTCTCTCTCTCTCTCTGTCTCTCTCTCTCTCTCTCTCTCTCTCTCTCTCTAGCTGGCATTCACACGTGTAATGGGATTAACGCGCTGCTGCGTCGGGCAGAGATGGCAGAAAAGAAGGAAAGGGGAGAGGCCATGGAAGGAATGGGTCAGGAGAGAGAGAGAGAGCGGGGGAGACACGGGGAAAGCTGAGGAGGGAGGAGAAAACTGGGTCCCAAAAGAAAAACAAATGAAAAGAAAGAGCTCTTTCCATTAGCTTGTTATTAGGCTACCAGAGGTCAGAGGGGAGTTTTCAGATTCACTTAGACTTCAGGGCGGGCGCGTGCACGCACACACACACACACACACACACACACACACACGCACACAAAGAAGAAAGCAGGAACTAAAGCATGAAAAGTATTTATGGGCACACCTGGAGTAAGAAGCAGTCTGAGTGATTCCAGAGTCATGCTAACAGCTGGTCAGAGCAGGAACCAATCAGGAGGGAGATTCCAGCTTCTAAAATGACAGGATTAAGAGTCTTACTCATTAATATTTATTATATGCAAACATCTCACCTCTGATTGGCTGACAGAAACAACTCTTCCGCTGCCTCCGTTCGTTCTTGCTTCTTGGTAAAAAAAACACAAGGCTGAACACTTTCCGCCATGTTGTTGCTAATGCTAATAGTTACATTGTACCAAGCCAAGACACGCTCTGCTTTCTCCTTCCTGTGGGCGGAGCCATGAGTAATGATCCCTGTAACATAGAAGATACTGGCTTTTTCTGACCTGATCATTGTCCTGTCTGTTTCCTTTCTGCGGCTCATGCACCTCAGCGACGTTGATGGATGTTTTCCTGTTCAGCGTGCATAAGAAACTCAGAGTGACTGCTCAAATCCATAAAGAATGAGTATCATATGGTTTCTATGGGAACGAGACCTTTAAAGAACTAGTCACCCCCTTCTGCTGATAAACTACATAAACGAGTGTCTCATCGCGCCGCAGACACATGTAGTCGATCTTTCGACACTTCAGTGCATCTTAGTTCAAATATAAATATTCTGCCTAAAACTGTCTGTGTTGTACTGTCATCACGGAAAAACTCTGCACTGCATTTGAATTTAAACCTGCCACCGCTATTGGCTAAGAGGTACACTATGATGTCAGCTGGTACATTATGATGTCACAATGTTGCTGTGAGCCTGTTTGTATCTGTTGGCAGCTCCGCCCTCTCGGTCTGCATTTTCAAACGGAAAGTGGGAGTGGAGTAAGGCTGGAAGGGGGTGACTTGCCCTTTAAGAAAGATGACAACTGGAAGCTAACGCTGATTAACTTAGAGACATTTTATGGTCTACCAGCTCTGGACCTGCAGGGTTCATCACTCTGAGGTCTCATTGTGTATTTTTCTCCACCGACATTAATAACGTTTCTACGTTCACACAGAAATGCTAAAGTAACCCCCCGGGTGTTTCAGAGCTGAAGTGATTGTGCGTTCGATCAGGAGGAAGTTAATTTGTGTCCACAGGAAGAGTTCAGTAACACCGCGAGCTTCGGATCTATTGCTAGGCTGTGGGGAAACCTGACAGCGGGGTAGAGAGGAAGCAAGGATGGGGAGCGTTCACAGGGAGGTATGTGTGGAACGGTGTCGGCTTTAGCGTGTTAACGGCCTGCTCGGGCTATCTCTGGAGGAACTCCCTCTTCCCACTGGCAGCCGGCTCCACTTCCTCCCGTAACGCGCTCCCAGCATACCCCGACCGCTCCGTCACAGCCAAACACGCCTCGGCTGAGCTCTACTGGATCTATTTTAGTTCTGATTTACTACGTTTCTCAGGAACGGCTCACAGAGCTCCTGACATGTGGGTCCAGCTGTTCTGATTATGAAACCAGCTGTTGGTATCGGCTCGTTGTTGACCACTCCGGAACAGAAGGAACCATCCGCAAAGTTTCGTCTGTTTGTGGAAACGAGAGAAAAGATTAAGAATTGAATGTTTTGGAGTCATGATTTGGACGTGGACTCCAGACTCTCACCGAGTTGCAACGTCGGCATAAACAAAGACGGGTCAGAAGTCTCCACCTTCCTCTGATGCCCGGATATGAAGCAAGAATACTCCCATAATTCCGGATTTGGGTCTGGAATCCCACCAGCTCACCGGAACACAGTCAATAAGCAGCACACGTCTGATTCCAGCAGGAAGGTGAATAACTGCAAAGGAATCAGTGCCTGGACAACAAGAGGGAGCTGAGCCAGAAAGCCAGGCTCTCGATTTACCGGTCGATCTACGTCCCAATCCTCACCTATGGTCATGAGCTTTGGGTAATGACCGAAAGAACGAGATCGCGGATACAAGCGGCCGAAATGAGTCTCCTCCGTAGGGTGGCCGGGCTCAGCCTTAGAGATAGGGTGAGGAGCTCGGACATTCGGGAGGGACTCGGAGTAGAACCGCTGCTCCTCCGGATCGAAAGGAGACAGTTGAGGTGGTTTGGGCATCTGGTCAGGATGCCTCCTGGACGCCTCCCCGGGGAGGTGTTTTGGGCATGTCCTGCCGGCAGGAGGCCCCCGGGTCGACCCAGGACACGTTGGAGAGGTTACATCTCCAATCTGGTCCGGGAACGCCTTGGGGTCCTGCCGGAGGAGCTGGTGGAGGTGGCCGGGGAGAGGACGGTCTGGAGCTCCCTAGCTGGGATGCTGCCCCGCGACCCGGACCCGGATAAGCGGAGGAAGACGACGACGTTTGGGACCAGATCAGTCCCACTGAGACACTTTTAAACGCCGCCGTCCCGGTGAGCTCCTGTCCTTTAGTCTGTGGGATTAAATCGATGACGGAGGAAACGGAAAACCGTCGGAAATGGAGTTCTTTGTGAAGACGTGCCTCTATTCTCTTCCTGAACTCCTTCTCCTGCTCTGGTTCTGGTCTTCGTCCACGTTTCCGCTCCTTGGCGTGTTGCTGGCGTGTGTAGTCTACGGGGACCCAGCTGCTCGTCTCTCTGACTCGTTCTCCCGGAGACAGAAGCTGGTAAAAGCTGCTTTTGAGGTCAGAAAGGCCTGAAACGATCAAACAGAACATCAGATCATCTCCGTTTCCCATTTGCTGCTTTTTCATTTGACTTTTCTGACTTCATCAGACTTGTGGTTCTGACCCATGCTTCCTGATCCGCGTCGGTCCGAGCTGTGACATGGTGGAGTCTGTGACCTATCGGGGTTGACCCTGCCGTCTTCCATGAGGAGGATTCCTCCCACTGAGAGCGGCTGAGCGCTGTGCGGTACCTCAGATGCTGTCGGGGCGGTGGGTTTGGACTGGGTTTGTCTGACTTGGCTGGCCTTGTGTTTGTGTAGGTTTGGAAGCAGCCTATAGGCTGGAACATGAACGAGTCTCCCGTTGGCTCCAGTTCAGAGCGCGACGGCAACAGACATCACACCGAGGCCATCAGCCAGCCAGACGGCCACCTACCACACAGCGCGGGCGGACGGCTCGGTTTCTACGGTGACGAGGCGACTGTGTGCATCACCGCGGTTACGAGGACTGAGTCTGAACCTCAGGGAGACGGTCCGACGTCAGGCCCTGATGTCGTTTCACGTGTATTTAGGTTTTAGGCGTGCTGCCATGTGCTCTCATGCAGAAAGCTGAAGTCTGGGGAGAATTCCCACCAACCAGAAGGCGTTTGTGGGATTCTCTCCGTCTTTCTGTTACGTCTGACTCCTAAAATAAAAGCAGTCCGCAGACTAATCATCCAACTCAGAGAGCTGAATGGTTAATCTGGTCCTCTCATGCGTTTATTTATAACTGTAATTATTTATGATGTCTACTTTTAAAAGGAACTTTTGTTAAACGGCTGACTGATTAAATTCTTCTTTATGGTTTTGTTATTCGTTAAGAACGAACGTTGCTGTTAAACAGGACTAGAGATGCCGGGGGTCTGTTTTTCATAAATATGATGATAAAAGCTTTACCCGACCTTCACCCTGCTACTCTCAACGCATCCGGCTCGGTTTTCCTCCACCAAAGTCACAAACGAAGCTTCTGACAGGAAAACCATCAAGTCAGAAGGTCTATAGAAACGTAAAACGGCTAAAGATGGCGACATAAGGTCTCACGCCGGTGTCTCCTGTGGGTTTGGACAGGTTTTTGTTTTATACGGTTACAGCAAACGCTCTGATCTAATAAAGTTTTATTTGAAATGGGTGAACTTAAACCACGGATGAACTAAACTCGGCTGGTTTTACAGACATGAGTCAGAAGGTTCTGGAAGGTGTGTTTGCTATCATCTTGTCCTCCAAGATAAACAAACTTTTTAGGTTTGATAGAAAACAAACGATTGTTTTTTATCTAAACGCAAAGAAACAAACAGATTTAGTCAGAATTGTATCAAGTGGAGCCGATAGGTCACCAGTTTGAAGGTTAACTGCATCAGAGGGTTGGTGGCAGCGCCCGTCATCAGCACCACGCCGGCGTGACGCTTTCCCGCCGTTTCCGCAGCAGCAACAGTTAAACGGGAAGCATTTCCATGTGAAATGAAGCACGCCGCGCCCGCTCTCCTATTCAAAACCAGGAGACGATCATTTACGTTTGTCACGAGTCAGAAACAGAGCAAGAAAATTGTTTATGGTGACATTTCATCTGCTAACAGGAAAACTTGAACGTCTAAATTAAAATGTTTATCATATTTACAGAATTGGGCTGGAAAATAAACAAGATTTAAACATTTTCAGCGGTTTTCAGAAAATCGGGGAATGATCCTCTAGAAAAAAAACATTTTATTAGACGCATCATTTAAGCTGTTAAACTGTTTTGTTCACATATTTAATGTCTTAATGCCTTAAATGAAGCTCAGAACCGTCAGGTGCTTATTTTGTTATAAAGGTGTTACAGGAGGTGAAGAGAAACGCTGCTTTGGGTCAGAAGATTAACGATTGTTTTGCTGTGAAATACTGAACTAATGAACTAATGAACAGATTAACTGATGAACTGATGAGGCAGATGGTGAACAACATGAATGGAGCCCAGCTCTGATTTCCTGTTAGTTGTTTTATGAAGTCAGGGCGCCACCTAGTGGCGATCATCCAAACTGAGCCAGGCTTTGTCTTCAGAAAGACTTTTTTGGATCATGACTGATTCCCACAAAAATGCTGACATCACACAAAAATACTGACATCACACATAAACGCTGACATCACACAAAAATGCTGACATCACACAAAAACGCTGACATCACACATACACACTGACATCACACATAAATGCTGACATCACATATAAACGCTGAATTCACACAAAACCGCTGACATCATATATAAACGCTGACGTCACATATAAACGCTGACATCACACAAAAATGCTGACATCACACAAAAACGCTGACATCACACAAAAATGCTGACATCACACATAACGCTGACACCACACAAAATGCTGACATCACACATAAATGCTGACATCACATATAAACGCTGACGTCGCACAAAATTGCTGACATCACACAAAAATGCTGACATCACACATAAACACTGACATCACACAAAAATGCTGACATCACACATAAACGCTGACATCACACAAACACTGACACCACACAAAAACGCTGACATCACACATAAAAGCTGACATCACACATAAACGCTGACATCACACATAAACACTGACATCACACAAAAATGCTGACACCACACATAAACACTGACATCACACAAAAATGCTGACATCACACATCAACGCTGACACCACAGAAAAATGCTGACACCACAGAAATATGCTGACATCACACATAAACGCTGATGTCACACAAATGCTGACATCACACATAAATGCTGACATCACACAAAAACGCTGATGTCACACATAAAGCATTAATAAGAACTGTTTGCTTCCACCCAGGAGGAGAACCCCTTTAGGTTCTGGTCCACCCGGCCATGGAGCGGTACTGTTACACTAGGCTGTAGAGAAAGAATAAAACGATTTTTGTTACGATTACATAGCTTCATGTTTTATGTACGGTTTGGCCTGGAGGGTCTTTTATTTTGAAAAACTACAATGAAATATGAATAATGATATTTTATGTATTCTGATTAAAGTCGTGCTTTCGATTTGATTTGTTTGTTAATATGAGGACTAAACTTGTTTGTTATGCAAAAACTAAGGTGTTATTTTACTGAGCTGCTGGAAAAAACCAAAACAAAAGTTTAACCCTTTAACCTCCAGGGACTCAAACCTGGCTTTGGGTGATTTAAAAGAAAAAACATATCTAGCAGAGTAGTCGACTGTAATTAACAGAAACAAAAGTACAAAAATTAAAATACAATAAAAACTAAAAAAAAAAAGTTGTCAAATATCCTAAAAAAAGAAAAAAAACAACAAAAGGTCAAATTTAAGTCAATATCAAGTGTCTATAAATTATGGTCCAAGTAGAAGAGAATACATTTTTACAGTGCAAGGCTCTAGGAGGTTAATTAACCACTGAATCAATAACATATCTTTTAAGTCAAATGTTAGAATAACAACTTTAAACTGTTTTTGTTTTACCGTGTAATTATTTAACGGCAATATAACTATTTGTACTGAGAAAACAGACTTTTGTTGCACATTTACATTATTTATGTGCTGTGTTTACTTTTATTTTTTTCTACATATTTTTCACTTGCATATTTTTCTTCTTTTGGTATTTTTACCTCACTGCTTATGAAGCAGTGGGCCTGTGAGGAACAACGTTTCGTTTCACCGTATGACCTGTAGAGGAATGTTAATAAAGCTCGACTTTGACTTGAGCTGATGAATAAATAAAACAGGCTCTCACCTCCAAGGGAAAGCGTTTGTCTCAATGTTGTGAAACCAGCCAGGAAGTGAGGAAAAACTTGTCCGCTAGGGGCGGGCACCAGAAGGAAGCACATCCTCACAAATGACAATTTCACGTTTACAGCCTGGTAGAAAAAAAAACATTCTAGGTTTTTATAGATCTAGTTTACCTTCAAGACAACTCTAAGTCTAGGTGTAATAAATGCTTGAAGTTATGAATAATTAGGTTGGATTGACAGGTAGCATTAGCGTCAGAGCTAGCGCTAGCGGCTAGCCCCGGCGAAGGCCTCAGCCTGGGCCTCATGTTGGATGTTCGGCCACTCTCTGAACTTTAGTTGTGTCCTCTTTGTGATGGCTTCATTTTTATCAGTAAGTAAACTTATATTTCTGTACTTTGTTCCACTGATGGCACGGGAGAACTGCTGTGCATAAACATAACACGGCTAGGGCAAAGATGTGTGTTGGTAGATCTGGGAACTGACACTTGTTATGGTCTCCCTGGGTCACGGGGCCTCTCCACGGGGGGCTGGCGTCGCCCCTGAGGCTGTGCTTTCTAACCGTGGAGCTCTCTCAGAGAGACCACAGAAACTCCGCAGCTCAGTGAGTTGACGTGTGCTTAACGTTAGAAGTCGCTCAACTGCGTTTTCAGGCTAAAAGCGCTCACACACCTCTGTTAGCTTCGGTTAGCTTGTAGCAGAGAGCAAAAGTGGGCCGAGATCCTGAAAATTCTGCTCTCAGCTCCACGTAGATGAACCACCTTGTTTTGTCCGGGACTGTCGAGATGTGTGTGACACAGCGTAGACGCCATTGCTGTCCACCTGCAGATCCTCCACCAGGGGGCAGCAGACTGATGTGGCAGCTTTCTGATGAAGGCACTAATCCTGATGCTTCATCTGGATGTTTTATTATGGTCTTTGTGGTGATGATAAGCTATTAGGGTTAATAATGTTAATAAGCTAAAAAAAAGCCTTTTTTTCTTGGTGTGGACATCAAATGGTTAAAACTCAAGTTATAAGATAATAAAGAGAACTTTTCATCCGTTCTATTTCTTGTTGCTTTGATCCATTTTTATTAAGAATAAACCCAAACTGGTTTATAATAAAGGAACATTTTATTATTTTAACTGATTATGACGAGTTTCAGCATCAGTTCTGTGGTCGGACACAAAGGTGTTGATATGTAAGCCGTCCCACACCTGGTTTCTCATTTCGGGTTTTGGTTCATTCACATCTGGGCTGCAGAGGTGCAAACACACAGATTCATTCACAGTTTATGATGCCTATCCAGCAGCGAGGAGGAGACGCTGCTCCTAGGGGATGTTGTGGTTCTCGTTCCCAGAAGGAAGACGGGTTCTGACGGGAAACAGCCGGGCCACCCAGATCTGAACCACCCAGAACCAACAGCAGCGCCATTATTAAAACAGCCGAGTGTCAGAGCTGGTTTCACACAGATCTGTGACTTCATTTCACCACAACTGATGGCAGAAACAATTTCACACTCAAGCTAAAAGCTGCAATAAGCCGCTAAACGACAGCGCGGAGCCTTTATTTAACCAGAAAACAAGTTTCTGTACAACACCCAAGTTCAGGCCCGCTAGGCTCGGACTGAAAACCAACCAAACTCAGCCTGTAGCACGGTGATGTTACGACGCCTCATGAAAAACAGATGTGAAGCATGTCGAAACGGACTGCTGGGAAGCACGATGGACTTTTCAAGGCAGGTTTGTTCTTGTTCCCTAAAACAACAACAGCAGCAGAGCCGATCGAAGCTCCAGCAGGTGCATGGTGGGCGACAGCACCGCTTCTGGGCAGCAAACAGCTGTGAAAGTGTGCAGAAAAACTAAACACATTAAATATCTACAGCTGCATCCACGACAAACAGCAGGGCTCTTCCTGCTCCGAGCAGCTTTGAATTTTTCAGGCTTTTCCCGCCCTGCTGGAACCAACAAATATGTGAAAAGTACCAAAAAATAAACCTGCTGCAACTCTAAAATGTATTTTAAATGACAAAGATTCAAATCAGTGAGCTAAACTGAACTTTAAGAGAGAGAGGAAATTATCTCTGTCTGGCCCCAAAACAAGTTCTTATCTGAACTTGGTGCCCTTGAGCCTGCGAGGCTGAAGTGATTACTCCCCCTCAGAAGAAATGTGGAATGCTGCCGTCGCCATGGCAACTCTGTCTCCCTATCCCAACCTGGGCGGGACTGCGACCGGTGAAGGCCGTTGAATCGTTTCCAGGAGTCACTGTGCACTCTAACCCAAATACCTCCCTCCCCTGTCCAAACGGAGGTGACGAGCGCTGCTCATCGCGGCTGCAGGCACTGATGTGAGGAGAGTCCCCAACCCTACCTCCCCACCTAGTGGACACTTATGCTGTGTGATGTCTGAAGTCTGTTGCATTTCTGTCTGAGGTGTTTTTTGCAGAGCAAAGCTGCCCTCCCGGTGGAGGGTAACTCTGAATGCCTTTTTTCCCTCCACCTGAACCAATCCTCATATATAGACCCTCTGATCTCTATTAAGGTAGCGCGACTCGGGTTGCGAATGACCACAGTCACCAATTCTTGTCATGTGTCTATGCCTGTATGTCTGATCTCAGAATTGTGTGTACTGAAACTCTAATTTCCCTCTGGGATTAATAAAGTATCTTTGAATTTGAATTGAATTGAATTAAAGTGTAAAAGTTTCTGAAAAGTAAATTAAAGGTGGGGTAGGAGAAGCTCTTCACGTAACCAATAAATTAAGTTTGGTCAACAAAAAGGAAAATTGCTACTGAATATATAACCCTGGATGAACTTCATCCAGTCATTGTGAACGTCTGTTCTTAATGTTTGGATCCTGATGCCTCCATCATGCCCCTCCCCCTCTGCACATACCCCTCTAAAAGCACGAATCACGCGTTCTCGGCCAGATCTGGGCTAGCTAAATTAGCTAAGACGCTAAACTGTTAAATTGTTGAACGGTCATGTCGGTGTGTTTTGTTAGCAATTATGGCAGAAAAGGTTCCAACAAAAGACTTGAAACTTTAAGATAACATTAAGCTTTTATGTTTTGGTGGTTTGCCCTAAAGCTGAGGTGGTAGCAGCCGGCTGTTTCTCCTGTTCTGATGATATCAAGCGCAGAACCTCCCACACCGGCGCGTTCTGCTGCTAAATCCAGAGCGTGTGATGAGAGGAGGACCCAGGGAAGTGCAGCGGTTCGGTGAGATCAATAACCGGATGGTCCAATGGTTGCTTTTGGTCCAAAACATGTTATTGGTGCAGGTTTTTATGCAAACGCAAGAGAACCACTTTATTTTTCTACCTCAGTAGCCAGCCGCCTGCTCTAGCAATCCGTCTCAGGCAGAAGGCAGGCATTCGCTCAAGTTTCTTATTTAAGCAGCAGCCCCACTAACATGTCCCCCCCACCCCCCAACCAGCGAAGTAAAGTACAGAAATATAATTTTACTTACTGACGAAAAGAAGTAAGAAGAAATCTCACCTATTAACTTTCGTGCTTTGGAGCAGAAAAGGTTGATACAAGCAAAATAATTCAATCCCAGTCTTCTCCGCTCTGGTTTCCTGTGATGCTCACCTGTTCCAGCCACACCTGCACCTGTGGGGTCGGGCTCTGAGCTGAGGAAGGAGTTCATCAGTGAGAAACGGATGCTCACACAGGTTTGTGCTGCTGGACATGGAGAGCATCTGGACCACGCAGTTGTGTCGGGGAGGGGATAAAAGCTGCAGCAGCCACAGAGTCATGTGACTTTAGGGCGTCGCTAAACTGGAGTTAAATCATCACGGTCTGGAAGTTGGTCGGCGCGCTTTCTATGTCAGCAGCAAACATCACTGAGCTGTTAAAATCCATTTCTGGGCTTCAAAGTCGACTATTTGCTGAGTAAACTCGGCGCTGAGGAAGAGGTAACACTGCAGACGCTGATGCTAGTAGCATGGATGCTAAAGACTATAAACATACCGGTTTTCCTCCTTGAAGCATCAACATGTTCCATCTTTGTTGAAACACCTTCCGTCTGCATCAATCTTTCTCTTACAGGACATGTTGGGATGATGTGTGGAGTTATTTTCACTTGTTGCATTAATTAAACATGGAAGTGGATACACTGCCACCTAGTGGCGAGTCACTGCACTGGGAACACAATCACCATGCATTATGGGAAATGTAGTTTATAGCCAATGTGCGCTTTGAAGCAGCATAGACCAATTTCTCTCGCGGGCCACATTAAATGATGTGGCGGGCCACATCTGGCTCGCGGGCCTGGTGTCTGACACATGTGCCCTAGTGGATGAGGGAGGAACTGCACTTTTAGCCGCTCCTCCTTGGCTTAAAAAACGTAGACCATAATGGCCCCATGGTCGGAACACGCACTTGATTTAATTTGCAGTGATTTAATTTGCAGTGATTTAATTTGCAGTGCACGCTACTTTAAACAGCCAAAATACGCCCACACAACGCAAATGTTCGGGCCTCTGATGTCATTCTCCAATAGCCAAGAAAACTAGCTAATAGGAGCATGAACAGGTCTTCTATTGGCCTGATCAGTACTGTGTCATCAGTTTGGTGGGTGGGATGATGTTAGCGACAATGCGGAACAACTAAGATGGTGGTGGCTCAGACATCCCACCAGGAGGAGACCTGGGAGCAGATTCAGGACCCACCAGGAGGAGACCTGGGAGCAGATTCAGGACCCACCAGGAGGAGACCTGGGAGCAGATTCAGGACCCACCAGGAGGAGCCCTGAGAGCAGATTCAGGACCCACCAGGAGGAGACCTGGGAGCAGATTCAGGACCCACCAGGAGGAGACCTGGGAGCAGATTCAGGACCCACCAGGAGGAGACCTGGGAGCAGATTCAGGACCCACCAGGAGGAGACCTGGGAGCAGATTCAGGACCCACCAGGAGGAGACCTGGGAGCAGATTCAGGACCCACCAGGAGGAGACCTGGGAGCAGATTCAGGACCCACCAGGAGGAGACCTGGGAGCAGATTCAGGACCCACCAGGAGGAGGTAAACGAGGATTCTTACTGGCTTCTGAATAATGCAGAGAACTGAGATTTGTCCATTTTACCTTCCGGCTAAAATTCAAGCCACTGGAGCTAAAGGTGATGATAAAAACTCCAGAGACACGGGAAATGACTTTGGTCTAAATTTGCACTTTATTTCTAACACTTACAGGTTTGTTCTGTCCCCCTTTCCCCGCCCCCCCGCCCCCCACCCCAGAAAAAACAACTGGCACACAGATAGCGATGAGAAGAGTTTCAAACCCAAACGTTTCCGACAGAATCAGGTTTCAGAACCAAGTCAGACAGAAAAAGCCTTGAAGTCAATAAAACAGCATATCTTAGCATACGTAAAAACAGGAAACAGGCCCCCGCCCCCCACACACACACACACACACACACCCAGAATAAGAGCGGATACTTCACAGAGTGGTTCGTTTCATCACCACCAACATCAGGATATATTAAAGAAGCCTTCTGGAGTTTTCGTGGGGGTTTTGGACCATGCGGAGAAATCAAAGCGGAGCTCTTTGGTTTTTCACTGTTGAGGTTTTTCTTTTTCATCTTTAGCAGTAAAATCTATCTTTGCTTCTTAACCTTTGGATTTAAGCTGCTTTGTAGAAAAAATAGAAAGGAAACGTTTCTTTTTACTTTCTTCTTAACGAAACAACAAGAAGGGGCGAGCATCACAAACCGAAGAGACTCTCTGGTTCTTATGTTTGTTTCATCGAGGCCAAATGAGCAGAACGGGAACATTCACATCCACAGGAAAACTACAGTAGAAAACCTGAAGTGAGTTTTCACACCAACGTCAGGTGCTGGGCTTCCTTTGTTTCTCACCCAAACATCAACCTTAATGTCTATTTACAGGTGGGTTCACAGGTGTGTTGGCAGTGCAGCGCCCCCCTGTGGTGGGTTTAACTTTGGTATCATTCTCGGTCCACCACGGACGAGCCGGACTACACGGGCACACACAGCTGGGTCGCTGTTGGAGAAAACACAAACTTAAAGCTTCAGTAGGTTTGGTTTGACATCTGCTCTGGTCCAAAGGTCCACAGTGGACCTCACCTCCAAAAGGTGAGCTACGCGTGTTAAAGTCCAGTTGTGATGAGTGTACACACACACACACACACACACACACACGTGCACGCACGCGCGCACACACACACACACACGCACACACACACACACACACAAACACACCCTTTCCACCATAAAAACATCTCAGCACCTTAGTGAGCATGTTAGTGTTGGTTAAAGCCATCAGAACGAGTCGGTGTCTCACTCCTGAGTTCAGACAAGTCTTTGTTTCTCTTTAAAGCTTGAAAGTCTTTTTGGTTTTTCTTCAGAGGTATGTGATCCAGGGAATCTGTGATCCAGGGAATCTGTGATCCAGGGAATCTGTGATCCAGAGAATATGTGATCCAGGGAATCTGTGATCCAGAGAATATGTGATCCAGGGAATCTGTGATCCAGAGAATATGTGATCCAGGGAATCTGTGATCTAGAGAATCTGAGATCCAGAGAATATGTGATCCATGGAATCTGATCTAGAGAATCTGTGATCCAGAGAATATGTGATCCATGGAATCTGATCTAGAGAATCTGTGATCCAGAGAATATGTGATCCAGGGAATATGTGATCCAGGGAATCTGTGATCCAGGGAATCTGTGATCTAGAGAATCTGAGATCCAGAGAATCTGTGATCCAGAGAATATGTGATCCATGGAATCTGATCTAGAGAATCTGTGATCCAGTGAATATGTGATCCATGGAATCTGATCTAGAGAATCTGTGATCCAGAGAATATGTGATCCAAGGAATCTGTGATCCAGAGAATCTGTGATCCAGGGAATCTGTGATCTAGAGAATCTGTGATCTAGAGAATCTGTGATCCAGGGAATCTGTGATCCAGGGAATCTGTGATCTAGAGAATCTGTGATCTAGAGAATCTGTGATCCAGGGAATCTGTGATCCAGAGAATCTGTGATCCAGGGAATCTGTGATCTAGAGAATCTGTGATCTAGAGAATCTGAGATCCAGAGAATATGTGATCCAAGGAATCTGTGATCCAGAGAATCTGTGATCCAGGGAATCTGTGATCTAGAGAATCTGAGATCCAGAGAATATGTGATCCAAGGAATCTGTGATCTAGAGAATCTGTGATCCAGGGAATCTGTGATCCAGGGAATCTGTGATCTATGGAATATGTTTCAGGGAATCTGTGGTCCAGGGATCTGTGATCTAGAGAATCTGTGATCCAGGGAATCTGTGATCCATGGAATTTTTGATCCAGGGAATCAAAAACCTTTCCAGAGAGCAGAGGAGGAGTCGGAGATGAGAAACTATAAATGTCTACATATCTGATCTGAGGCAGATCTCCTAATTAAGCTTTAATGTTTTGTTTTTACTTGTCATAATTATCTTAAAGTAACATTTAATATCAAACACGAGGCTTCTTTGACTGAAGCATGTTAAAAACAACATGGCTGCGGAAGTGTTTGGTGGTCATCAGGTCCAGGAAGTGTCTGAACGACAAACCGAAAACAAACTTCTACCGGAGCCCTAACAAAAGACGATGTGATGTTTGAAGGTTCCTCTGCCTCCTCCTCGCTCTCTTTTAGAACAGTCAGAAGTTTTGGATCTGAACGCCTGTCTGCAGGCGCAAGCCCAGAAAACAGCAAAGATCAAAGAGGACTTAAATAGAATCCAATAAATACATAAATAATCAATAAATAAACAAGGAGAGAGAAAGAGAGCTTCAATAAATACAGAGGCCAGGAAGAGCTCACGTCCTCTTCCTCGACAATAAATACAAATATTTTTTCTGACAAAAAGAGTTTTAAAGCTCTCGGTTCTGGAAACGCCGTCTTCAGTTTTTAATAATCTGTAAAAACGAGCATCAAATAAGAGCTAAAGGTCACACTTCCTCTGCCCCCCCCCCCCCCCCCCCCCCCCCCCCCGGCCTGGAGCTTCTTCCCTTCAGAGTTCAGATCCAACCCACAACAACCCAGCTGGCTTCATTCACGTGTTATTAACGAGGTTTATGAACACTAACGTCTAAAAACAAAAGCTGAAGCTTTTAAATCTACGGCCGGAGTTTAGAGAACAATCAGTATTACTTCCATTATTGTTGTTTTTATTTTTAAATGTAAATAAGAACATATGAAACCAGCGGTGTGCCTATTAGTCAGAACTTTTTAACCAGAAAATAATCTTTAATCGTTTCTATGCAGATGACATTATTATTATTAAAGTCTCAGAGAAAATCTGAAATCTGCTTCTAATAATAATAATAATGGTCAGAAAATGGGAAAACGGCTTGATCTCATATTTCTTTCTGTCTTTTAACCATCGAATGAAAATCTTTATGAACAAAATTTGGGTTAAATTAAAGAAAAAAGGAACAGAAGAAAACATTTCTGCCATTCTCGTTTAAATATTCAGACTGAGTCTAGTTTCTGTACTCCAACGCTCCGTGCGGGTTGGAACATTCCTTACACGATTGACCTCCTTGTTTCCGTATCACAACATCTATGATAGAGTTTCCAGACTCCGAAAGCGACGGGAGCGTTTGTGTTCGATCAGAAATAAACGATTTTTGTTTTTCCTGAAACAACAACTGTCTTTGGCACTAGGGCTGGCTAAGCACTGACTCGGTGTGAGTTAGAGGAATTATAAACCAGATTATCTGCTGAGTTTGGGTCATCAGGGATACTGAACACTCGGTTGGTGACCAGGACTTGGACCTGTTGTGCTGCAGACTCTCAGATAAAATTACAGCATCTGAGTTAGAATTAAAACTAAATCAGGCTAAAAAAACTAAAACGCTTGTTTCCCTTTGGGGTTTGACATTATAGTTGTTATTATTATTGTTATTATTATTGTTATTATTGTTATCATTATTATTATTAGTAGTAGTATTGTTATTATTATTATTATTATTATTATTATTATTATTATGAACTGAATCAGTTTGCTCTGAAAACAGAAATAAGCTCAAGGTTGAAAAGAAATTCAGTTTAGAAATAAAAAAACAATTTGTGTCCAACAAATGTTTGTTTTACAGTTTGGTTTGTTTACACACACACACACACACACACACACACACACACACACACACACACACACACACACACACACACTTGTGCATTGGTTTGGTTTTTGTATCTAAATGTTTTGCTTTTGGTTTTTCCCACTTTCGGCGCTTTGGCAGCAACATTCCGGACTGAAGAGCGTTTTTCCATCCTGGAAGCTTCGTTTTCACAGTTATTTGTTCCAGCATGAATCAAACTAAAATCAGGCGTAAAAACATGACGAAGGCAGTCCCCCCCCCCCCCCCCCCCCAACCGCGATACAAACAGACACAATGGAAAGCCAGAAACAAAAATATATATTCTCAGTTTGTTGTTGAGGTTTTTCCTTATTCTATCCAGGTGAGAACAAAGCCGGAGGTCGTTGGCTTTGTGGAGGTGTGTGTGTGTGTGTGTGGGGGGGGGGGGTCTGTCTGCTGGAACGACAGGACAGGAGCTACCCCCCCCCCCATCTCTATTTGGTTTCACTCACATGTAAGTCAGCAGAAGTAGCGTTTGGTTTTGAGTAACTTTTGTTGTTTTTGATCCCCCCCCCACCCCCCACCCCCCGACAGCTTTTCCAACCCTCGGCTCCTGACCGCTCCTCCTTTTTTCTCTTTGGCCCTTTGATCTGATCTTTGGAGACAAAGGAGAGGGGCAGAAGGGATGGAGGGCAGGGGTTCGGGGCAGTGAGGGGAGCGCCGGTGTCTCGCCTCCTCCTTTTCTTTTTTTTGGTTTTGCTCTTTTTATGCTTGTATTTGTATTTCATTAGGTGTTTTATCCCTTTGACACTGCTGAGGTTAGTCTGGACACTCGCCTCTCGGGCGAATCCAGAGGCGAACGCTGCCAGAGGCGATGCTTTGGTATCCAAGAGTGACGTCTGGAGGATGACGTGAAGATGGAATGGTGGTGAGAAGGAATCAAAGGAGACGAATAATGTGAAAAATAGGAAAAGTCCCGGGACAACACGCCCACTTCTGCCTGCGGTGGGACTTTGTAAGATCTTATCTGAGCTCAGAGCAACAAAAACAAACCAAAACAAACAAAAGCAGCTCCTCTTTTGGAGGAGTTAACGAAACCGTTGTGATTTGATCCGACGATCTGTGAAGACGGAGGTAGGTAGACGTCCTGCAGGTGGGATCCGCTGGAGAAGTGACCACGATGAAGAAAATGAGTAAAAAAATAGATCCTGAGTGGAATGAAGGACGTTTGGCAACACGAAGCTCTGATCGGACGATCAGAAAGTCAGTAAAGCTTTTCTCTCCGTTGGTTTTTCTTTTTTTGGTTTCAGTTTTTGGTATTTGGAGAATTTGGTTTTTCTTCTTTGAAACGTTTTTCTCTTCGAGCAGACGAAACAGGTTTCAGCCTCTCGTCCCTGCCCGCGTCAAGTTTTTGGTGTTTGTTTCCAACAAAAGAAAAAAAAGCTCCTCATCGACACCTCCTCAGCTGTAGGTCATTATTTGGTTTCAGGCCCCCCCCCCCCCTCTGCAGTCTCTCCGTCTTCTCCGTCCTCCGGACCTCCCTGTTCCTCCTCTCCTCCGTCTGAGTGTATTTTTGGCATCAGGAGACTTCAGAGAGGAGAAACGTGGAGAGGAGCTGAGCTCGGACGGAGATGGCTTTGGTTCAAAGGCGATGTTGTACATTTGGATTTTTAAAGCTCCTTAAATTCTCCTCCTCCTCCTCTGATGGGACCCTTTGGCTGGCGATCTGCGTCACTCGGCCATGGCTCCTCCCAGGGGGGGCGGCGAGGCTTCGCTGAAGGAACAGAAGGAGGCGGGGCTTGAGCAAGGGGACGCAGACTCCTCAGGGCAGGAGGTCGGGCTCATGAGGTTGCTGGTGCCGGTGGGTGGAGATTGGCAAAAGGAGGCCCTGGGGCCACACCCACCCCCGCTGACCAGTCCCATGCCAACGGAGGCGGATGAAGCGCCGGTCACCATGGGGAGGAGACCGGGGCGGTTCAGGAAGAGAGAGGGACGAAGGGAGGTGGGGACAGCGGGACCCCCGTGTCCACCTACAAGCATGTGACCAGGTCCGCCTTCCAGGCTGGAGATGGCCAGCTGACCGCTGGAGGCTGCCAGCGCTGGGGGAGGGGGGAGGGGGGGAAGCAGAAACAAGGAGGTGAAGGGAGGAGGAGAAAAGAGAGAAAGTTGTTAAAACAAAAAGCAGGAAGTGAGCAAGCAGACAAACAGGAAGTGTGTGGAAATGAAACAAACACAAATCAGTTCAGAAATTTTAACTCATCAAAGTCTGAAAGACTTAATTCACTTAAATTTGAATAAAATGATGATGGTTTGAACTCTGGGTCGTTTCTGGGTGGCTCTGTTCCATTTCAAAGGAAGTAAGAGAGTGACGAAGGTTAGGGAGGAAGATGAAGATGAAGGTGGTGGTTTCTCTGACACAACGGAAGTTTGTAAAACACCTGAAAGTCTTTTCAGCAAAAACCACACGAACTCGTCCTGACCGAGTCGACTTTAATCCGCTACTGCGCGGCGAGGGTGAACACTCAGAGCCGGAGAAATGGTCTCCTCCCTCCTCCAGCCCCATCACTCCCCATAACAGAGTGTGTCCTTCTCATCAGCACCTGGCCCGGAGGACGGCGCCGCTGAATGACAGCCGACACGACCAGAGAAGAAGATGTGAAGCGGCTCTATAGGCAGATGGTCGGACTCAAAGCTGAGCTTATTTGTGATGCTTAATTGATTTGGTCTGACGGTGAAAGCTGGTTATTTAGCCAGCAGGCGCTGATATTGTGTCGGACTGTTGACTCAGAGCTGACTCGGCCTCCTAAGCTTTGCCACGAGGGCCCCGAGTCAGCCGCTGATAATGGCCGCCTATTGTAAGAGAAGGAAATGCAGTCTTTCACCAGACTCAGAAAGGAGGAGAGGAGCCGCTGGTGGGTGCAGGAAAACTCATTTTAGATGGAGGTGGAATGGAGAAGGAGGGGGGGGGGGGGGCGCACACACACACACACACACACACACACACACACACACACACACACACACACCTTGCATGGTAGCCAGAGGGTTACTGCCGATGAGGGCCTGGTTCATCCCCGTGCTGACTCCCATCATCGTGTTCCTGAAACCGGATTCACACAAACGTTGACTCACATTGCAGATTAAATAATCCTGACTCACTAATCCAGACCTCAGGCTTTAAATCTGATGGGGGATAAAGTGCAGAACACCAGAAGTCCCGGTGCGCTCTCTTTAATTAATCAGGTCCCTGCTTACTTTAAGAACGCTGTAATCCACCCGAGTCTGGACGCTTCTCTCCATAGCAGCCTCAGACCCATCTCCAAACTTCCGTTCATCTCCAAGATCTTGGAAAAGGTTGTGGCTAAACAGCTCACAGCTGCTCTTGATGAACAGAACATCTATGATAGCTTCCAGTCAGGTTTTCGTAGAGCTCATTCTACTGAAACAGCTCTTCTTAGGGTCTCTAATGACCTTCTGACTCACACTGATGCAGGGGACTGTTCTGTTCTGGTCCTGCTGGACCTGACTGCAGCCTTTGACACTATTGACCATCACCTGCTACTGGAGAGGCTGAGAGACTGGGTAGGCCTATCAGGATCTGCTCTGGAGTGGTTCTCCTCTTATCTCTCTGAGCGTTCCTTTTCTGTGGCCGTCTCCAAGTTTAGGTCCTCCACCACCTCTCTTACCCATGGTGTCCCACAAGGTTCTGTGCTGGGGCCTCTGCTCTTCCTCCTCTATCTGCTTCCTCTTCAGCACATCCTGAGCTCCTTCAAAGGAATCTCCTACCATCTTTATGCAGATGACATCCAACTGTACATCTCCTTTAAGCCCCATGAGATGTCTCAGCTGCAGCTGTTCCACACCTGCTTAGACTCTATCAAAACCTGGATGGTGGGAGCTTTCTTCAGCTGAATGAAGATAAGACTGAGATCCTCATCTGTGCTCCAGACAAGCTGGTTCCCAAAGTCAGAGACTCTCTTGGTCAGCTTGCTTCTCACACCAAACCTTTCGTCAGGAATCTTGGCGTGACCTTTGACCCAGCTCTCACCCTGGATTCTCATGTCAGTTCTCTTGTTCGCTCTTCCTTCTTCCATCTCAGGAACATTGCTAAGCTGAGTCCCATTCTGTCCCGCTCTGAACTTGAGACAGTTCTCCACACCTTCATCTCCTCACGCTTAGACTACTGTAACTCTCTTTTCACGTGTCTGAGCAGAACCTCCCTGAACCGTCTACAGGTGGTTCAGAACGTCTGTGCTCGGCTTCTGACCAAGTCCTCCAAACACACCCACATCACCCCGCTTCTCCTCCAGCTTCACAGGCTGCCAGTCACCTTCAGGGTTCATTTCCAGATCCTGGTTCTGGTCTATAGGGCCTTACATGGACAAGCACCATCTTACACTGGAGATATGCTGGTGAAGGTTCTCAGTCATCCAGGCCATGGTAGTCCAAACGGGTTCAAATGAAGGCAACTGGACATCTTTGGTTTGTTGAAGATGTTTCGCTTCTCATCTGAGGAGCTTTGTCTGTTCTAACTGGAATATGGGAGAGTCAAGCTTTTAAGCTGTGGCTGTCTGTTATTTAACGAGCAGAAACTACTCTGAGTACCCCTCCTTTCCATCCACTAATGAGTCGTTGGCCTCCACTGAGAGGGAGTCGTCGTGTTGATTAGATGCAGGAAGGTGTGACCTAGACTGAAACTGCTTAGGAATGAGATTAAACCTGAGTCTCTAATTTCCCTCTGGGATTAATAAAGTATTGATTGATTGATTGATTGAGTCCTCCTCCCCTACTTAAGGAGGTCTCCTTTAAAAAGCAGCTGAAAACTCACCTGTTCAGGCTGGCTTTGGTGTGACCTTCATCACCACCCTCTCCTCATTCAGGTCCTCCTACCAATTCTGCCTTTCCCAGGATCCACTCATTCCTTCCTTCTTTTCCTTTCCTCATACGTTTTAATCTCAGTTTGTATTTTTCCCATTTTTATGATACGTCTCAGTATTTTTTTAATTTCAGATTACATAATTTTGTTCTTGTGATTTCTATCTTGTGAGGCGCTACATGAAAGATTGTTTCTTCTTCTTTAAGAGCGTTTAAAACCTTTGATGTGAAATGAACCCTAAAACGCCTGGTGGAGCACATTTTACTTCCTGTATCTTTAGAAAATCTGAATGGAAAGTAGCAGATTAAAACCTACTGAATAAAAACAATCTGGAGATGATTAAATACTATTAGCATACATTATTATGTCATTCAAACTTAATGAGGATAAAAAGCTTATATTAAAGGTTTAAGACTGTAGGTGTCTAGTTCTGATTTTGCTTTTATTCCAGGAAAAGATTCCAGAGCGGCTCCCAGATGAACACCTTCCACTAAACTCAGGAGGGCGCCATCTTCTCCACGGTCGCTGGTACTCACCCAGAGTTGAGGCCGGAAGGAACTGGGCTGGCTGTGCTCTGAGGAGGAAGAGGAGGAGGAGTTGCTGCTGAAGACAACATGGCCGCCGAGCTGACTGGAGTCATGGGGCAGGAAGCTGAAGGTGACGAACTGGCACCTGAGAGGAAGAGAAGAGGGATGATGTTGATGCCAAGTGGCAGGTTGGTTGTCATGGCGCTGAAGAGTTACAGCGCTATCACAAACACTCGGCTGACGCCGTTCTTCATCAGCAGTCCGAGTTTCATCCAGCATCTCCATTCAGAGTGGGAGAAGTTTCAGGCTGCGGAGCGTTAGCCTCGACTCATTGGGCCAATAAATTTCCAGCTGGGTTTGTAACCTGTCAGGTCGTTTGTCATGTGAGCGACGCCTGGGAAAGCCAGCTGTGGAGCTGAGGTCTATAAATCACCGGGAAGAGTCACGACTCATGGAGGTAAACAACTTGGGATTGGACCGCTGCTTCCATGTCAACAAAATATCACTGTTTCCTGTTCCAGGCTCTCTGCAGACGTCATTTTATAAATGAAAATTCCTCCGATTCATCAGATCAGAAGCAGGAAACACGGACCGATCAGGAAACACGGACCGATCAGCAGGAAACACGGACCGATCAGGAAACACGGACCGATCAGCAGGAAACACGGACCGATCAGCAGGAAACACGGACCGATCAGGAAACACGGACCGATCAGGAAACATGGACCGATCAGGAAACACGGACCGATCAGCAGGAAACACGGACCGATCAGCAGGAAACACGGACCGATCAGCAGGAAACACGGACCGATCAGCAGGAAACACGGACCGATCAGCAGGAAACACGGACCGATCAGGAAACACGGACCGATCAGGAAACATGGACCGATCAGGAAACATGGACCGATCAGGAAACACGGACCGATCAGCAGGAAACACGGACCGATCAGCAGGAAACACGGACCGATCAGGAAACACGGACCAATCAGGAAACACGGACCGATCAGGAAACACGGACCGATCAGGAAACACGGACCGATCAGCAGGAAACACGGACCGATCAGCAGGAAACACGGACCGATCAGGAAACACGGACCGATCAGGAAACACGGACCGATCAGGAAACACGGACCGATCAGCAGGAAACACGGACCGATCAGCAGGAAACACGGACCTATCAGCAGGAAACACGGACCGATCAGGAAACACGGACCGATCAGCAGGAAACACGGACCGATCAGGAAACACGGACCGATCAGCAGGAAACACGGACCTATCAGCAGGAAACACGGACCGATCAGGAAACACGGACCTATCAGCAGGAAACACGGGCCGATCAGGAAACACGGACCGATCAGCAGGAAACACGGACCTATCAACAGGAAACACGGACCGATCAGGAAACACGGACCTATCAGCAGGAAACGCTGACCGATCAGCAGGAAACACGGACCGATCAGCAGGAAACACGGACCGATCAGGAAACACGGACCTATCAGCAGGAAACACGGACCTATCAGCAGGAAACACGGACCTATCAGCAGGAAACGCTGACCGATCAGCAGGAAACACGGACCTATCAGCAGGAAACACGGACCGATCAGCAGGAAACACGGACCTATCAGCAGGAAACGCTGACCGATCAGCAGGAAACATGGACCTATCAGCAGGAAACACGGACCGATCAGCAGGAAACATGGACCTATCAGCAGGAAACACGGACCTATCAGCAGGAAACATGGACTGATCAGGAAACACGGACTGATCAGGAAACACGGACCAATCAGGAAACACGGACCTATCAGCAGGAAACGCTGACCGATCAGCAGGAAACACGGACCTATCAGCAGGAAACGGACCGATCAGCAGGAAACATGGACCAATCAGGAAACATGGACCGATCAGCAGGAAACACGGACCGATTAGCAGGAAACACGGACCAATCAGCAGGAAACACGGACCAATCAGGAAACATGGACCGATCAGCAGGAAACATGGACCGATCAGCAGGAAACACGGATGGATCAGCAGGAAACACGGACGGATCAGCTTCAGGAACAGTATAATCCAGCCGAGAGTGCTGTTGGGATCAGAGACACCTGGGATGAAAACTCACCTGTTGTGCTGAGGCTGGTCGTGACCTGGGACAGAGTCTGACTCGATATCTGCAGAAAGAAGAAAAGCAGGAATAAGCGCGCTCAGATGGAGCTGAGGGGTTACCAACTGCGGGGCGGTACCATGTGGGGGCTGTAGCAGTGGGCTTTGTGCGTGACCACGGGTGAAGTCTGGCTGGACAAGGGAGGGGTGCTGCTGCTGGACGGGTTGATCCGTTTCTCCTTCTGTCGGCGGTTACAGAACCAAACCCGAATCACCTCCTTCTCCATGTTCAGCTGCTCCGCCATCAGAAGGATCTCCTCCGACGTCGGCTTCTGGTTCTGAGGAGGAAAAACACAAACGAGCGATCCTGGTGAGTAAATGAAAGCTTCAGAGACGGCGTTTCACGAGGGAGGGTCTGAAACATCTCAGAGGGTTCTCCTCTCCCCTCCAGTCTCAGGGAGAGAAGATCTGGTGTTGCTGGAGTTTTGTTCAGAAAAGATCCGTGTAGTGGGAGGAGTTCTGGAACTGGTCCAGTTCAGCTTCTGAGAGTCTGAAATGTTGGAGACGACTTTAGGAGGAGTTGGAGACTAAATCAGATGCGAGATCAGACACTTTGGGTCCAAAATGAAACTTTTTGTTAATTTGGCCCGACGGTCAGATAAAAAAATCTTCCTGCTGAAGTTTTTTTATGATCCAGAGTCGACCTGAACCAGAACCGAAACTCAAATTCAGAATCGGTTTTTGTTTTCCACAAAATGACAAAAAATTCCAGATAAAAATGTTTTTTTAGTCATTTTTTCTTTTTTTTTGGGTCAAATTTAGTTTATTAACCCTTCAACGTGCACACCCAGAAAAAGAGGATGCCATTTTATTTATTAGTAGTGATTAAGGCAAAGAAAGTAAATTAAATCAAATGAAAAACATTAAAATAATCATAATTTAACAGTATTTTAAATCATTTTCTAACTTCCTTGTTGCTTTTTGATTTTTTGTTTGTCAATTTATTCTCAGAGACTAAACTCAGTGCAGCTTTTGAGCAGGGGCACCTCCAGAAAATTTTGATGGGGTGGCCATATGGGGCCAAAGAAAAATTTGGGGTGGCACACCAAATTGGTCTTCGTGTTAACTCTGGTTGGATTCAGCCTGTGGCGATGTGCTGCATTGCACCTTTATTCATTTTTATTAAAATAACAGTACGTATCCAAAACATTTACCTTACATTTTACAAACACAATTATTTTAGAAAAATAAATTTCAGTTATTTGAACTGTTATCCCAAATTTTATTTTAAAATGTATTTTTTAGGTTAATTCACCCGTTGCTGTGTTCACACAAAAAAACTATGGAGATAAAAACTTTTTTTAAATGGTGAGCAGCAGAAACATGTTTTTTTATTCTGATTATTTCTTTACTCATTAATTATAATTTTTTTATTTTGTTTAACAATTATGTCTTGAATAAACAAGATCAATATATGGTTTGACTGAACAGTGATATGATTTGTTGACACTGGCTTTTCCTGGGGGGGGGGGGGGGGGGTTGCTTGTGATACTGTGGACCACAACATCCTTCTGGAGAGACTCAGAAACTGGGTGGGACTATCAGGAAAAGTGCTTGGCTGGTTCCAGTCCAATCTCAAAGACAGGGACTATGTTGTCTCTACTGGGGCTACCAATCAAAGCGGATCACAATGACATGTGGGGTCCCCCAAGGCTCAATCCTAGGACCACTACTCTTTAATCTCTATATGCTCCCCCTGGATCAGGTCATACTTAATAACATCTCCTATCATAGCTATGCTGATGACACCAAAATCTACCTAGCCCCATCACCTAGTGACTGTCGGCCACTAGACTCACTCTGTCAGTGCCTAGAACACGTAAACGACTGGATGCAGGCAAATTACTTCAGCTAAACAAAGACAAGACTGAAGTTATTGTCTTTGGTAACAAGAAGGATAGAACAGATGTTATCGCTCAGCTGGACTCCAGAGGAATAAAGACAAAGACCCAGGTTAGAAATCTTGGTGTTATCGTTGACTCAGACCAGAGCTTCTCTGGACATGTTAAAGCTATAACTAAATCAGCGTTTTATCACCTTGATCAAACATGGAGAGCCAGAGGTCTCATGTCCAGACCAGACTTAGAGAAACTTATTCATGCTTTTATTTCTAGCTGGCTGGACTACTGCAATGGTCTCCTAACGGGTCTTCCCAAAAAAGCTGTGAAGCAGCTGCAGCTTGTCCAGAACGCTGCTGCTAGAGTCTTAACAAGAACCAAGAGAACGGAGCACATCACTCCTGTTCTCACTGGTTACCAGTAAACCACAGAATAGACTTCAAAGTGCTCCTACTGGTTTATAAAGACAGGTGATGAGTTTTCTTCCTGTTAAAAGGGAGTTTTCCTCTCCACTGTCGCTGCATGCTTGCTTAGTATGAGGATTGCTGTAAAGACTCTGACACTAGTCAGTGACTCGATGCGACCTGCTGGGTTCCTTATATAGGAAACTTGTTACTGATTGGCTTAACGACCTGACCTGTGTTGGGATGTTTACTGTGTGAAGGTCCTTGAGACGACTCTGGTCCTGATTTGGTTCACTCAAAGGCACGGGACCAAAACACACGTCCGATCTCATTCCTGTATACACACCCAACAGGGCTCTGAGACCCTTAGGAAACAATCAGCTGGTAGAACCTCGGGTCAGAACCAAACACGGTGGAGATGCTTTTAGCTACTATGCTGCTCACTTATGGAATCAGCTTCCCCACGACCTCAGACGTGCCCCAGCCCTAGTGTTGTTTAAACCCCTCATGCACTCACCAGCCTCTACATGAATGATTTCTTATGCTGCGTCGTCTCCTCTGTAATCTGTAATCTTAGTCTTCTCCTTTAGCTCTAAACTGTAATTCCATCTGTGTGTGTTTTAATCTGTGTTTTCATATCATGTCCTGATCATTGTAAAGCACCTGTGTTTGAAACGTGCTCTAGAATAAAGCTGCCTTGCCTAAACTAATCCATTATTATCATTAAACTGTTTAAATCTCGGTTCTTGCTGATTTTCCTGCAGATCTGAATGAAGCTTGAAGGGAAAACTTAGTTTAAAATTCTATTTGGGTAAAAAAGGAGATTTGATGATAATTTATCTGCAGCAGCAATTTAGTCAAAATCAACTGGAAAATGCAAATCTGTGAGGAAAAAGAGGGATGACTATGAACTAAAGGGCTTTTTAAATCCTCATGTTCGTCATTTCTCCATAAATCTAGAGCCGCGTTGATCCGATCATCCCGGTTTTCAGTTAGTTTGATGCTTTTGTTCCAGTCTTCCCGATGAACCCGGTTCATCTCTCACCGCGCTGAAGTTCCGCTCCAGAACCACGCGGACGTTGGTCTCGATGCTGGTTCGTTTCTTCCTGCGTCGCCCCGGGAGACCCTCGATGCCCAGCATGGGGGAGGAGATGGAGGAGGGGCTAGGCAGCATGCTGTCCACCGCCATCGTTTCTGCAGGAAAAGGGTTTTCCAGCATCAATGAAAACTTTAACATTCATAAAATCTGACCCGGACAGAAGAAACCGCAACTCGTTACGTTTAAATGAAGAAATCTGAAAGTACGTCAAATCTAAGAGATCAAATTTCCTACTAGATTAAACTTAACTTCATCAGACAGGAAGGAAGCCATATATGGTCGCGCGATTAAACAAAAAAGCTCCAGTTTAAATCCTTCTGGGATAAAAAGACGAGTTTTCTGGTGTTTCAGCTGAAATCATGTTGAGTTTTTATAGGTTAAGAGATGAGGTCAAAGGTCATTTCTGGCCTTAGTACCACAAACGCACACCCGCCTCCAGGTGGCGCCCAGGTAAACCCCTCACCTGCGTCACTCAGCCACTTCTCCAGCAGTGGCTTCAGCTTGCACATGTTCTTAAAGCTCAGGTTGAGCGCCTCGAAGCGGGAGATGGTGGTCTGGCTGAAGTCGTTCCCGTACAGCTTCCCCATGGCAACGCCGACGTCCCCCTGACAGAGACGGGTGATGA